AACGAGCAAAGTATGATGACACATAAGAAAAGGTGGAATCGGGATCAAATAATACAGAGTCATCTATGTGGCAGACTGAAATAATACCTATGATAACAGCATCTGAAGCAATAGCATCGGGTCTGCCTGGGAGTGTATAGAAATGGGACTGACCGCCCCCTAATCGACCTCCCCTTCTGGGGAGACCCCTAGCTGACTGACCTCCACCCCTAGCTGGCTGAGCGGGTGGGGGTGAAGAAACTGGTACTGAAGCCGATGACTGACCCCTCTGCTAGGACGAACTAGCAACACGATAAGGACACTGCCTCCACACGTGGACCATCTCACCACACTCATAACAACTCCCAGGTGTTGTAGAAGGGGACTGAAGGGAATCCCTCGCACTGGAGTGACTAGTAGATGCACTCGGCATAGAAGAGCCCTGAACCGATAGAGCACGGGATGAACTCTGAGCTGGAAGGGCGCTGAGTGATGACTGGCCCTGTTGAGATCCATGATAACCATAACCCGAAGATACCCCACGATAACTTGGGCGAGCTGACTGATAAGGCCTAAATGGACGACCCATGTTGTGCTGAGACTGGCCCCTCGAAGGAGCACCACTATAGTTGCCAGATCCTTGAGGCCTCTTGGCCTCCCTCTCCTCTTGCTCCTGACGGCAAACCGTCTCAATCTCATGGGTGATATCCACAACCTCCTCGAAGGTAGCACTAGTCACCCTCTCCCTGGTCATAAATATACGGAGATGATAAGTAAGACCATCAACAAACCTCATGATCCTCTCTCGATCCGTCGGAACCATCCAGATGGCATGATGGGCCAACTTAGAAAACCTCAACTAATACTGTGACACAGTCATATCCTCCTGTTGCAACCACTCAAACTACATACGCAACTCCTTTCTGCGGGACTGCGGCACATACTTCTCCAGGAAGAGAACGGAGAACTACTGCCAGGAAAGGGGTACTGCAAAAACAGGCCTATGCCTCTCAAAATCCTCCCAGCAGGTGAAAGCAGCTCCTGAAAACTGATAGGTGGTAAAAGCAACCCCGCTAGTCTCCAAAATACCTACAGTACGAAGCATTCTCTAACACTTATCCAAAAAGCCTTAGGCATCCTCGCCCTCTGTGCCACTGAAGGTCGGAGGTTGCAATCTACCAAATCTCTCCAACCTACGTTGCTCATCCTCCGGCATGACAGGAACCACATAGTCCTGAACAGCTGCAACTGGCTGGGCTGGATGTGCCCCCGGCGTCTGAAGTCCCTGCACGACCTGCTCAAGGGTGCAAGCGGCGGGAGTCTAATTGCCTCCCCCGGCTTGTGAAGTAGCTGCGGCTGTAGTAGCTAAAATCGCCTGAGCCAGGTCAGTGCAAACTGATAAGATCTGTGCCAAGGCCTCCTGAAGACCCGGAATCACGATGGGCACAGCTGGTTCCTAAACTGGTGCTGCTGGAGCATCCATAGCTGGAACCTGATCCTGAGCTGGGGCAGCTGGTGGATCTATAGGTGCTGCCTTTGCTGCTCTGCCACGACCACGACTGCGTCCACGGCCTCTGGTGGTCTCAGCTGGTGGCACTGGTGGTCGTCCACCCCCATCTGGTAGCGTGTGTCCTCACCATCTGTGAGAGAATAGAAGAACAGAGGTTTATAATCGGATCAGCAAGTTCGCACGATAAGAATTTCAAGAATATGAAGTTTTTTCCTAAAGGTTCTACAGCCTCTCGAGGATAAATACAGACGTCTCTGTACCGATCCGTGAGACTCTACTAAACCTGCTCATGACTCGTGACCTATGTAACCTAGGCTATGATACCAACTTGTCACGACCCTAACCCTGAACCCCGTCGTGATGGCGCCTCTCGTGAAGACAAGGCCAGCCAGTTTAACCTAATTCATCTTTTAAAACAGTTAATCAACACAAAATAGTCTAAACATGATTTAATAATACTAAATAGCGGAAATATCGATAACAATGCGGAAAAAAAAATATCCAACCCGACACAACCCTAACCGGGGTATCACAAATCACGAGCATCTATAGGTCATAATACCAGTCTGCTAAAATCCAATAACTAGTACAAATGTTTGGAGGGGAAATAGAAATGATAAAATAGTAGAGACACGGGGTTGCGGATGTCAACAGCTACCTCGTAGCCTCCGAAAGGCCCGCCTGGAACTGGAAGAAAATCAACACTCCGAAGCGGAACTAGCTATGCCTGAATCTGCACACAAGGTGCAGGGAGTAAAGTGAGTACTCCAACTCAGTGAGTAACAAATGTAAATAATGACTGAAAGTAAGAAAACACGTAGAACACAAGGCATTCTATAATGAAGCAGTAAATCATTTAAAATCAGTAAAACCAGTAAAAGCCAAGTAAAATTCTCGTTAACCAGTAAAACAAGTAATTGACAGATAATTGAAATAAAATAAACAAATAAAAATTTGCCCCTTGGGCACAGTATCAACAACTCCACCCCTCGGGCTCAATCTTAGAACGAAACCAGCCCCTCGGGCTCAATCTCACATCACAATGGGTACCTGCACTTACTGGAGGTGTACAGACTCCAGGAGGGGCCCCTTACAGCCCAAGCGCAATAACAAGTCATCTCGTGGCATCAAATCTAGGGCCTTGGCCTCATATCAATCAAGCCATCTCGTGGCATACATATCTCAGGCCCTTGGCCTCCAATCAGTATCAGTGTGTCCTCACAATACAGGCCTCGTCCTTACTTAGTCAAAAATCATCACAATCCCCTCGGGCAATAGTAAAACAGTATTTCTCAGCCCAAACATCATTTAAAATGTCATTTAAGTATTAAAACTGAGTAAACATGGTTGATTAGTAAAAACAGTGGAAATTAATAAGATTGAGTTCAAGTAATAAGTCAAAAAAGTGAGGAAATAGTAATAAAAATCCCCGAAGGATTCCAATAGTTAGCACGCAACCTAAATATGGCATTTAGCCCAAATAATGAGGATAGGAAATAGTTTTAGTCAAATATGCGGTAAAACCGTCCATCGGGATGAACCAAGTCATAATTCCCAAAAGTGCACGACCCCACGCTCGTCATCAAGCGTGTGTCTCACCTCAATAGCACTACGATGTGCAATCCGAGGTTTCAACCCCTAAGAGAATCATTTACAATTATTACTCACCTCGAACCGGCTAAATCTCTAGCTCTCGACGCCTTTGCCCCTCGACTCGGTCTCCACACGCGTCGAATCTATCCAAAATCAGAACGAGAACGTCAAAATATGCTAAGGGAACAAAGCCCAAGCGAAAACAATCAATAAAGAGCACAAATCCTGAAATTAGCAAAACCCGGTCCCACTTCTTAAAACTTCGAAATTTTCACATCATTAGATTCCTCATCTCCTCACGAGTTCATACATATCAGAAGTCCTCAATTCTGACCCCAAATGATCCTTCAAATCCCAACTCAAAAGTCCAATTTCTCAAGCCCTATTTCTTCCATTTTTAGCTTAAGTTAACATGATATTTCTAGGTAGATTTCACAATAGAATCGAGTTTTAAGTCTGAAACACTTACCTCCAAACGTTTCCCCTTGAATTCCTCTTCAATCTCTTTCAAAAAGCTCCCAAAATGACCAACTATGGAGGAAATGAGCCCCAAAATTGCGGATGAAACGAATTAAAAACATTCTGCCCAGGCCTGACTTCCCTTCTTCGTGAACACGGTCAATCCCTCACGTTCGCAAAGCACAAACTTACGTTTACCAAAAATTCTTCTTCGCGAACGCGATACCTCATCACAAACACATTGCTTTACCATGCACACCCTTCACGAACATGTCCTAGACATCACGAACGCGGTGGGCAAATTGACCTCCACCTAGCTGACCTCTACGCGATCGCGAGGCTCCTGTCGCGAACGGGAAAGCAAAACCACATCAACCTCTTCTGACACGAAGTCTCTCTCGCGAACGCAAAGAGTAAAGTCCTTCAACTGCTGAACCTGCATTTTCTGCAATTTTCTGAACTCTCAAATGATCCGATTGACCACCCGAAACTCACCCGAGGCCCCCGGGACCTCAATCAATAGCACCAACACATCCTAAAACCTTATTCAAACTTGTTTCAATCATCAAAACACCTCAAACAACATCAAATGACCCAAAACACATCGGATTCAAGCCTAAGTTTCTAAAATCTTCCAAAATACGCTTTCGATCAAAAACTCAACCAACCCATATCTGAATGACCTGAAATTTTGCACATACATACCAAATGACACAACGAAGCTACTGCAACTCTTGGAATTCCATTTCGACCCCTATATTAAAATCTCACCTATCAACCGGAAATCGCCAAAATCTCAACTTTGCCAATTCAAGCCTAAATCTACTCCAAACCTTCGAAACCGATTCCGATCACACTCCTAAGTCACAAATCACCTCCCTAAGCTAACCGAATCATCGGAACTCACATCTAAGCCCTCTAACACATAAGTCAACAACCGGTTGACTTTTTCCAACTCAAACTTCCTTAAAAGAGACTAAGTGTCTCAAACCTTGTCAAGACCATTCCGAATTCGATCCGACCAACCCAATACCACAAAAAACGGATAACAAAGCATAAAGAAATAGAAATGGGGAAAACGAAGCGGTAACTCATAAGACGACTGGTCGGGTCGTCACAACTCCAGACCCAATGGAAAGATGCTTGGCCAAATCAAGCACCATACAAGATGATGATCCCATTATCAAAAGAGAAGCTGAAATATTGAAAAAAGATTATGAGGATTGGGAGATGCAACCAAAAGAAGTTCAACCAAAAATTAAACTCAAAATTCTTTCATCTCGTTTAAAATATGCTTATCTTGAAAAAGAACAATGTCCAGTGATTATTTCATCTTTTTTTTACTGTAGAACAAGAAGAAAGATTAATTGAAGTCTTGAAAACACATAAAGGAGCCTTAAGGTAGGCTATAGCAGATATCAAAGGGATTAGTCCAGCTATTTGTACTCACAGAATCCTCATGGAGGATAGCTACAAGCCAATAGTCCAACCTCAAAGGAGATTGAATCTAGCAATGCATGAAGTAGTAAAAAGGGAGATTGTAAAAATTTTGGCAGCAGGTATCATTTATCCTATTTCAGACAGTCCTTGGGTAAGTCCTGTTCAGGTAGTGCCAAAGAAAGGAGGTATGACAGTTATTAAAAATGAAAATAATAAACTCATACCTACCAGGAATGTCACAGGATGGAGAGTCTGTATTGATTATAGATGTCTCAATGATGTTACTAGAAAAGATCATTTTCCTTTGACATTTATTGATCAAATGTTGGAAAGAATTGCAGGATATGGGTTTTATTGTTTTCTTGATGGCTATTCAGGGTATAACCAGATACCAATTGCACCAGAAGATCAAGATAAGACAACATTCACATGTCCTCATGTAACATATGCTTATAGGAGAATGTCATTTGGTTTGTGCAACGCCCCTGCTACATTTCACCATTACATGTCAGCAATTTTCTCTGACATGACCGAGAAATTTCTCGAGATTTTTATGGATGATTTTACACTATTTGGAAAAATATTTGAGGATTGTCTTTATCACTTGACTTTAGTTCTTAAGAGATGTGAAGAGACAAACTTGATTCTTAATTGGGAAAAATATCATTTTGTGGTTACTGAGGGAATTGTTTTAGGACATAAAATCACTGCTAAAATGATAGAAGTTGATAAGGCTAAAATTGATCTTATAGCAGGATTACCCCCTCCCACAACTGTTAAAGGCATTAGAAGTTTTTTAGGTCATGTAGGTTTTTACAAATGGTTCATAAAAGATTTTTCAAAAATTTCAAAACCGCTGACTAGCCTCTTGATGAAATATACTAAGTTTAATTTTTCACGTGATTTCTAGATGCATTTGAGACCCTTAAGAAAAAGTTATCAACTGCCCCTGTAGTCGTGTCCCCTGACTGGAATCAACCTTTTGAGGTTATGTGTGATGTTAGTAATATAGCAGTAGGAGTTGTTTTAGGCCAGAGAAAGGATAAGATTTTCCATCCCATTTACTATGCTAGTAGAACAATGAATGAGGCTTAACTTAATTATGCCACAACAGAGAAAGAGTTACTAGCAGTAGTATTTGCATTTGATAAATTTCGTCCATATTTGATAGGAACTAAGGTCACAATTTTCACTGATCATGCAGCTTTGAAATACCTCTTAGCAAAGAAAGATGCTAGACCTAGATTGTTAAGATGGATTTTACTTCTGCAAGAATTTGACCTTGAGATAAAATATAAAAAAGGAACAAAGAATCATGTAGCTGACCATTTGTCTAGATTGGAAAATCCTCCCCTTGAGTTTAGTGAGATAAAGGAAGAATTTCCTGATGAACATATTTTTTCAATCGACTTAGTAGTGACTCAACCACCCTGGTTTGCAGATATTGCAAACTACTTGGTTGGAAAGTGGATATCCCAAGATCTTTCATACCAACAAAGGAAAAAACTTATATCTGATGCTAAGTATTTTCTGTGGAATGAACTTTACTTGTTAAATTTTGTGCAGATAATATCATTAGAAAATGTGTACTTGAAGAAGAGATGACTAAAATTTTATATCACTGCCATGATAGAGCAGTTGGAGGTCATTACGCAGCAAATCAAATAGCTTTTAAGGTTTTGGAAGCTGGATTCTTCTGGCCGGCACTCTTTAAAGATGCTCAAACATATGTTGCACAATGTGATAGGTGTCAGAGAACAGGTAACATCACTAAAAGAGATGAAATGCCATTGCAATCGATACAGGTATGTGAAATATTTGATGTTTGGGGAATAGATTTCATGGGACCTTTTCTTCTTCTCACTCTTTTGAATATATTCTTGCGGCTATGGATTATGTGTAATATGGGTTGAAGCAATCCCCACAAGAAAGAATGATGCTCGTACATTGTGCAGTTTTCTCAAGAAAAATATTTTTACTAGATTTGGCACACCACGAGTCATCATTAGTGACCAAGGAACTCATTTCATGAACAAGCAATTCTCTACTTTGCTATCAAAATATAGTGTGACTCATAAAACGGGAACACCGTATCATGCTCAATCTCAAGGACAAGTTGAAGTTTCGAACCGCAAGTTAAAAAGAATTCTTGAGAAGACAGTTGGAATTTCTAGGAAAGACTGGTCTTTAAAATTAGATGATGCATTATGGGCTTACCGAACAGCGTTCAAAACGCCAATTGGAACATCCCCATATAGACTAGTCTTTGGAAAAGCTTGTCATTTGCCGGTTGAATTAGAGTACAAAGCTTTTTGAGCATTGAAAGTGCTAAACTTTGATTTGACCTTTGCGGGTAAAAATAGATTTTTTTCAGGTTCATGAATTAGAAGAGCTGAGGTTGGAAGCCTATGAAAATGCCAGAATTTTCAAAGAAAAAACAAAAATATGGCATGACAAGTTGATCCGACAAAAGAGTTTCAAAATTGGAGATAAGGTACTTCTTTACAATAGCCGACAGGCTATTCCTTGAAAAATTAAAATCCAGATGGATAGTTCCTTACAATGTTACAAATGTTACTTCATATGGTGCTATTGAGATTCAACAGATTAGTGATGGAGACGAATTTAAAGTAAATGGTCACAGACTAAAATTATATTTTGGAGGGTAATTTGAGAAACAACCATCAGTTACTCTAATTGAATGAAGAATCATGTAGAAAATAAGTCGAGCTGACGACATTAAACTCAGAACTACATTTTCCTACTCGTAGCCATTGAGGGTGAAGCAATGGAGTCTTATAAGTCCCGTAGAAATTTGCAAAATAAAATTGCTTAGCCAATTGATCTGGTTAATATCCAGGTTATTGTACAGCCAGAATATTTTATGAAGGCCTCTATAAAAACAGAGTCACATATACATGAGTAATTTCATGGTGATCGGTATGCTTATGTAACTGGTTGGTTAACCGTTTAATTGTGCAAATTAATTATTGGCTCAGGTAATTTTTTTTTGGTTTATATTTAAACCAAGACCAAATGAATGATAAGCTCTTAAATTATTCAATTTATTATACATAGAATATGTGTGTCACAGTTTCTTTCAAGCTTTTTCTGTGATTGTAAATTTGAAAGCCAAATTTTTTTTTATTGTCTTTGTACATGTAGAATAAATTTTTTTACCTCTATATGTCTTTCAATTATAAATATAAATATTCTATCAAATAATTAAATATATATAGTTATCTATCTTTTACATGTTACAATTTTATACATAAAAAAAATTATTAGTGTGAGCTCTCTAATAAATATACAAATAATAATATCTGTATAATGTGTTTATATAAATATGTATAAAGATTATACTCAATATAATATATATACACATAATAAGTAACGATTCTAGCTCATTTACTAAAACAAAGTATTACATTAACCATCTTTTATATAGATTTTTCAAAAAAAAATATATATATATATAAGAAGAAAATATCTAAAAGAAGGAAGAAAGTACATAGTACTCTGTTATGATGCGTAAAGCAATGCAAGAATTTTGGGATAGAGACCATAATGTGTACTTCCGGTAATCTATCATAGATTAATACTCCCTTTGTTCTAGTTTACAGTTTACCTGAACCTATTTTCTTTTTGGCTCGTTCCAAAAAGAATAAACTCTTTTTAAATTTGGTAACAATTTATCTTAAAGTTACAACGCTACCCTTAATGAGAAGCTTTTATAACCACACAAATACTTTGGGTCTTATTTGGACTTGTTTAGGACCACAAATTCTAAAAATCTTTATTTTTTTCTTAAATTTCGTGTTCAGATAAACAGGTTCGCATAAATTGAAAATAAGAGAATAGTATTTTGTATTAGTATATTTTTTTTCTTAAGCTTATAAAGTATTCTCCTTGGGACCATTTAGAATATACAACCCTAGTCTTTTATCATATTCCCCTCTTTAACCCATCCAGCAGTAACTAAAACACACAGAAATCATCTTCTTCGTTCTTTCTCTTTTGCAAATCTCTCATCACCATTTCCATATGGCCAACAAAAAAAATCCATTCCCCAAAGCTTCACGCAAAAATGGACAGAGAAGTCCAAATCCTATTGAAGAAAAAGGAATGGAATTTTTTTCTGAAGATGGTGATTTTGATGAAACCATAGTAGAGATAATAAAGCACTATAAATGGGAATTTTTTGTGCATCCTCCTGGAGATTTCTGCTTGGAGCTAGTTTTGGAGTTCTATAGGAATCTTAACCAAGAAAATACTGAATCTTCAGTCATGGGAAGAAGAATCAACTTTTCCCCTGAGACCATTAACCACAGTTTTGGTCTCGAGTCAGTCAATAATGAGTTGACGCACCTTCTGTTAGCTGCACCAGATTGGGAGGAAGTCGAAGGGAAATTATGCCCATTTGGTGCGAATTGGGTGTTAAAGCCTAGTGGAGAGCGGAAGTATTTGATTGGAACTAACATTGGGTACAGAAGCAGACCATGGGTAAGTTGCTAATGCCAAATACTAATAATTCTATTGTTTTATCACCTAGAGTGCTACTGCTTTATGCCATATGCACTCGTCTGCCACTTGATGTTGGAACTATCATCAATAGCAATATCAAGGCATGTGTAGATGATCCAAGTGCGAGGAGCATTTTCTTTCCTTCAACAATAATTGCTTTATTGAGACACTTTGGTGTGTATCCACTCCCCCAAATGGTTGTCACACCTTCTTCAATGATGATTACAAAAAAAAATTGGAGTCGATGTGATGAAACAGATGGTCCAAGGAAAGAATCGGGGCAAGAGAAAGGACAAGGCAAGCATATCCAAATGCACAACTAACACTTATGAGGCAATTGGTCCAGCAAATGGTGCAACTTGCTGTAAAGCATGAAACAATGGAAAGGGAGTTTCGCAGAGGTGAGCATATTAATATGCAGAACACAGTGTATAATTCTTCTCTTGGTTGTGATTTTTCCAATATGATGCGTACCATAGGTGAAATTTGGGGATTTCATGATTTGCCTCTTTTTCCACCAATAAGATGGTTAGATCCTGCTACTACACCAATTCCACGTTTTTTTTTGTGAAGACGATGTCTTGCAAACCCAACAGACATTACGTGATGAAATGCTCGAACCAGTGATACCACCTAAAGTTGATGTTCCGAATGGTTCAGATGCAATGTCTGCTCAAAGCAGTAATATTTTCAAAATTTTGCCACATCTGGAAGATATTACTACTTTTAATAATCTTGAAAGTATTTCAGCCTGTTCATAATGTAAAAGGTAAAGCAATTGTGATTGATGAAAGTACTCCACGTCAGAAAAAAAAAAACAAAGAGGCTAAGAGAAGTAATTGAAAAAGGAAAGGGAGTCCTAACAGAAGAATCTTCGGATTCGGAGGATGAGGGCTAAGAGATGAAGGGAATATCTCTCGCGCTTCGGGAGAATGAAACGTTTAAGTGTGGGGGAACTTTAGGTTTTTGGGAAAGAGGAAATATGCAAATATGTTATTGTTTCTTAGTGTTTATATAGTACCTAGTTGTTGATGCAGCTGGTAAGTATAAGTTTTTGTTAGTACCAAGCTGTGAAATTTCTGCATGTTCTTAGAACGTTTGCTTGCTGACAGGTACGTACTTTTGCTAGTATCAGCTAAGAATAGTTGTGTCACGATCCCGGTTCGGCCTCCGTGAACCATCGTGACGGCACCTAGTCTCTACGATTAGGTAAGCCTAATTTGCGGAAGAAAACCAAAATTTGCGGAAATTAAAACAGTTTAAAACAGAAATAAAGTAGTAACAGTGTTTAAATGTGCCGCTCGGCTTACACCATGTTTAACTCTCAATACCAATACAGAAATCCAAGACCCGAAAACCCACAAATCACAAGCTAAGATCAATACTACATAACTCTAACTCCGGAATGTCTAATAAGAACAGAAAAGTACGGAAGAGCTAAATACTAAAAGCAGGAATAGAAAGGAATTTCTCGGTCTGTGGACGCGGCAGATGTACCTCGATGTCTCTAGAGCAGTCGCCTCCCTCAAAGATGGTAGGCCTGAGTAGCAGTACCTGGATCTGCACATGAAAACATGCGCAGAAGGGGCATGAGTACACCATAGCGGTACTCAGTAAATGTCAAGCCTAACCTCGGTTGGGTAGTGACGAGTAAGGTCAGGGCCCTACTGAGATTAAATAAATAATAAGATGACAGGATAAAATAAGCTGTACAATTGAGAATCTACAGTAAGAATCTATACAGGATGATAAGAGTACAATAACGGAACCAGAGATAAAGGCAAACCACAAGGAAATGCCATTCATAGCAAGGGTGATAACCGGGGATCTCTTGGTATCCTCAATGTATGCTAGGGATCTCTTGGTATCCTCAATATGTGTTAGGGATCTTTTGGTATTCCGAGAATCTCTTGGTATTCTCAATGTATGCTAGGGATCTCTTGGTATCCCGAGGATCTCTTGGTATCCTCAATATATGATAGGGATCTCTTGGTATCCCGAGGATCTCTTGGTATCCTCAATATACGTGCCAGGGATCTCCCGGGATGCCGTCCCGTAATCCCAAATTAAAAACACACAGAAGCAACATAAGAATACTCAATTAAATGCTAAATTCGAATCAAGTAAACAGTTAATTCTAGTCTAATATGCTTCATGTAATGCAATTAAATCAGTTTAAGCAAATAGGCAATTAAGTCAACTAAACCTGCTTTTCTAAACTACAACAGGCTAAATTCGCAAGTAGAATAAAACGGGAAAAAGGAACTCAATTGAAATACTTGAAGAAAAATCGGATTTTCAACAATTAGCTCAAGTATGCACTCGTCACCTCACGTACAAGGCATTTCAATTATCGAATATATCATATCCTAAGGGGAAGGTCCCCCGCACAAGGTTAGACAAACCACTTACCTCAAACCGGCTTAAAATCAATCTGAAACCACGCTTTTGCCACGAGTACTCGACTCCAAATGGCCCAAATATATTCAATTCAATTTCATAATATAAATAACACTTCAAGTAACTGATTCTACAATTAAATTCTAAGTTAATACGCGAAATTATGTAAAATGACCAAAATGCCCTCAGGCCCACGTCTCAAAATCGGGTAAAATTTATATTTCTAGAAACCTCGTACTCTCACAAGTCTAACCATATCAAAATTATCCAAATCCCATAACATTTCGACCCTCAAATCCTCAAATCTATCCGAGAGGGTTTTGAAACTCTTCCAACTAAATTCACATATTTAATGCCAAAGCTAGTAGTAGATTCGAATAATCTAACCAAAA